CACCAAGAATAGTTGTTTCTATTCCATTTGTACATATTTGTCTCGAATTTGAACGTTCTTTTGCAAATTTGTTGATATTTTCCTTCGTTTTTTATATACGAAATATCTATAATATTAGAAAACAATAACAACGATAAATCAACTCCTACACGGAGAACGCTAATTGACGACGACGTGAGTCATTTTGACATCGATAAAAGAGGATGCACCTTTTTTATCATATTATGATACCACAAGTGATAATATTTTGCCGGAAATATTCGGTGATTGCTACGACAGCTTGTTGCCTAGAAATTTCGTGAATGACATTGTTATCAAAACTACGAGCCGTAGGCGAGTAGTTTTGGATCAATGTCATGAGCGAAATTAGAGCAGCAAGCTGAAGTATGTCAATCGACGAATATTTCCAGGAAAAATAGTATCACGAGTTGTATTCGTATGACTATTTCATGATTGAATGAGACAATATATATAAGAAATAGGACACCTAATTTGAGTATATTCCAACTCAAACTGCGAAGAAGAACAAAATTATAGTAATAAAATACAGAATTCAATTTTTTAGAAATTACACAAAGTGGAATGTACAATTTTGATAAACAGTATTTTTTTCATTATCTTGGAGATGGTTGCTCTCAAAATAGTGTATACAATTGCTATCCAATTCAGACAAAATAAATTGAATTTATGAGACAGGAAATAATTGAAAAAAAGATGTCATCAACCATAACAGTTGCGCTACACCGGTAATTATAGTAGTCTCAGTAACTTCAATGCTTGAAAAAGGTTATTTTAAAAAGGAATTTGAATTCTAGTATTGTTGTGTGTCAGACCGTCAAAAAATATGCAAACTTTTTAAATTACACATGAAACGTCCAGCCAAAATAAAATTTTCTCGCCTTTCGTACAAAATGTCTCACTGACGCGAATTATAAGTAGATTAAATGAAGTAGGTACTTGTTATTGTCTCAGATTTGAATCCAAACTCCAAAGCAATCTTGACCAGACACGATGTCAAAATTTGATCGCTGATAAACGAGGTTTGTTGGTCACGTGTGGGTCAATTCGGCTTCTGTATTGGTAGAGCAAGTCCGATAAAATTTAATAAACAAAAAATATCGCTAGAATACAGAAGAAACCATGAAAATGGTCGATTCTGATTGGTTCTCGAGATCAAGAGTGGAATAGTCAACAGTAAAAACACAAGAGCTTTTTCTGTCAGATAAATTTCTCCTGGTAACGAAAAACATTTGCCGATCAGTACCGTAGGTCGAGTAATTTTGTGTAATGTCAGTTTTTTAAGCAAAATAACTGATGGAAATTGTTTGAGTTAGTTAGGAAATTTATCTAATTGAAAATAGCTACTAGATCAAAGGAGCAGGCAGTTTATCAGCGGTAATGAAGGGCATCCTTTTTTATCGATGTCAAAATGACTCACTTCGTCGTCAAGAATATGTCTTTTTTAAGTTTTTTGAATAAAAAGTTCATTTACCTATTTGATTTTATTGAGACTTATAAGCACACTTGACAACATTAGCACTTCTTAAGTTCTTTAGGATTAGTGAACACAAAATTAACAAGAACTGAACTTTTCAAACAAAGGATTAATAATTTCTGTAAGTACATATATTTAGGGATTATTGACATTATTGAAATTGATCGTTATGGTCGAACTATTGTGAGATGCTACAGAAACCATTAACCCACGCGTAATTTCTTTGCTTGAAAAGTTCAGTTCTTGTGGTACAGATGATGAACTCTTCATGGTGACTGATGAAGGATTGGAGGAAGTATAGTTTCGCCAGAGAGCAGATTAGCAGTCTTCGTTTGATTGGAGAACGAAGTATCTACATAGCCTTCCGCCACGGTACTCGATTTCCATCCTCCCAATCTCTTTGATTGTAGAACATCTCCTCCATTGTTTGTGAACAAAGTTGCTGCTGTACGCCGAAAACAATGCCCGGTATACTCGCCGACGTTATTTAGTTTCAAAAACGATGCTATTCTTTTCGGAAATTGCGATATGAAATTGTGTCCAAAGACTTGATTGGTAATTTTTCCATATCTCATTTGCATCTAAATCCTCTCATTTTGAATTCGTGATCGGAGTTACATATATTTCTTTACAATTTCAACCCATTTCGTTTTTAATATCAGAAACGATCGTGCTTGATATGTTTTTGTGTGAGGAATAATGATGCTGATCTTTTCTTCCAAAATATCAATATCTTGATCTTTCATCTTAAAAAGTTCATCACTTCTGCAGGCTCCCGCGAGTCCAATTACCAAACCAATCTAAAATGTTGAAAAATATTAATAAAAATAACTATTTTATTAGTGTTAGAATAATAACCTTCACAACAAGAAATTCTTCTGGTGCTTCATCTGAGAAAGTTTCAACATTTTCTTGGGTAAAGGTATTTGATTTCTTCGGTTTATAAATTGGCATTTTGCCTTTTTAAAAAATCCATTAATATTCCATATTTTGATATGTCAACCTTGTCTCTGATAATTAAGGTTGTTTTTATCATGGAATACGTAGACCATAAGGTTGACGATTTCTTATAGTCTCAGCCATTTCACTGAAGTAGGCAAGAACGATGTTTTCCGATGCAGCTTTTGCGACCCCCTTTTTGGCGCACCAATCTGTGTACGTATAATATGCTTTATCATACCTCGGTCTACTTTTTTGGGGCAGATGATTTTCTTCACCTTCCTCCGCTGCTTCCTTCATGTCTGGCGGTGTGCACTCCAGCTCTACAGTGTGTCCATTTAGTGCGTAATTCTTCGATATCTCGAAATCAATTATCACAAGAGAAAAACTTTGGAGAAGAAACTTTTTCAGTTACTAAAGTTGCTCATTTCGAAAATATTTCCAACGATACTGGGTGTTTCATAAAAGCGGGGCAACTCGAAGACGAGTTTTTTCAAATGGAACACCCAGTATTGTTCATTCGAAATTTATTCCGTTCATGTTCAGCTCTACATCGCTGTAAAAAAAATGGATTTGGTTGCGACGTTGCCAAGTTATAATTGATAAACCCATTTTAACTACTATTGAAGGGTCATGTTCAATTGGGTATGGTATATTTATTTATCGAAATTTCGAAAATATTTTTGGCATACAGTAGTAGCAAGGTCTCACGTATACCAATCCAGTAATCTTGCGAGATAATCCTCTACAGGGTGCTAAAATTTACATTCTGAATATTGTAAGATTCAGACGACGATCATGAGAAATTTTCAAATGGAACACCCTGTGTTTTTCATCACGTATTTATTTCGAGATCATTCGCCTTTTCATCGCAGAAGAAAAAATCATAATCGGTTGCGGCGTTCTCAAGTTATGAGTAATTTCCTTATTTTTACTACTATTTCGGGGTAATTTGTTCGTCCTGATGGTTCCTTAATTTGATTTGAGTGTGGGAATATTGCTTCCCACATGACATTCGAGGTTCTACATAAATCATTCAGGTATTTTTGTGATATGTGCTTCGTCCAAATTTGAAATATTCCATAATCTTGCTACTTACGATTCAAATAATATGTGAAACAAACAAACATGCCAAAAGCAACGCCTGTCTTTGATGAAACAATGAAGATGCGGATTGCGAAAATTAGGAATTTTTTTTGAAATTTGGGCCATTTTTATTGTCGTTATTCCCACAATCCAAATCTCCATTTACCTTGAAGAAGGTGAACATAATGATACAAACAATATGTCTCTACTACGCGGCTTTTGGGAGGAAATTCAGCAAAATGTCGAATCAATCCAAGATATATTTGATTGTAGCGATGTTTGACAGGTCATTACACAAATATTTCGAACAAAATTCAAATTCGGAGAGCCTGTAAATGTTCCTTTTGTAAAAAGATATTTGAATGGTCAATGAACAAATTTGATTATACCGTAGCAACGCAATATTTCCACAATACAAATAAATGAAAGAACTATGACGTACAAATTACCCCGAAATAGTAGTAAAAATAAGGAAATTATTCATAACTTGACAACGCCGTAACCAATTTTGATTTTTTTCCAGCGATGAAAAGGCGAAAGATGCCGGAATGGATTTGTGAATGAAAATACAGGGTGTTCCGTTTGAAAAATTCTAATGAATATCATCTGAAGCTTGCAAAATTCTAAATGCAAAATTGAGCACCCTGTTGAAGAACATGTCGCAAAATTACTGGATTGGTATACGTTGGACCTTGCTCCTACCGTATGCCAAAAATAATTTCAAAATCTGAATAAATGAATATACCATGCCCAATTCAACATGACTCTTCAATAATGGTAAAAATAGATTTATCAATTATAACTTGGCAACACCGCAACCGATTTCAATTTTTTTCAGAGCGATGTGAAGGTGAACCTCGACGGAATTAATTCCGAATGAACAATACTGGGTGTTCCATTTAAAAAAACTCATCTTCGAGTTGCCCTGCTTTTATAAAACACCCAGTAATGTTGAAAATAATTTTGAAATGAGCCACTTTAGTAACTGAAAAGGTTTTTTCTCCAAAGTTTTCCTCTATATGTTATGGCTTTCGAGATATCGAAGAATTACGCACTAAATGGACACACTCTACATATACCCGACATTTTATAAAAAAAATAAATTACACGGTCCGCACACTGACAAGAGCTGACAGGAGTGTTTATTAAACACCTTAGAAACTCGTGGAGACGACAGGAACAAATTTTCGCCTACTCACTATTGGGAAAATAAGTTATTTGTTGTTAGTTGTCATCATCATTCAATGATTGTTTTTGTAATTTTGTTGTTGACGTTTGAGAAAAAATAATAAAAAATTAGCTTTTTTCCGAATTTTTGTTTAGAAGATTATAGTTGTAAATAAAATAGCATACAAACCTCGGTGGAAAGTTACATCACTGTCTCGAGATATTACTTACTCTCTCGACAGTAATGTAACACTTCCCACCTCGGTATGTAATATACTATTTCCGTGTAGGAGTTGATCACTTGACGGTATACCTTTGAAAATGAGCCTGGAGTGACGGCGATCTTGTACACAGCAACGATCGGAATCATTATCACCGATGAACCAGCGATGGCCCATCCCAGGACGTTGGCCCACGCTGGATAGACGTAGCTTTCGTAGGTCAGCGGTTCGTAGCCCAGCAGGCCGTACACGATGATGAAAAGCAGGAAAAGTGGCGCCGCAAATTTCCAGCAGAATCGCCAGTAGTAGCCCGGCGAGAAGCCTATCATGTCCTTGATGTCGTCGCAAAACCTCTGAGTCCCTGAAAGTGATAGATAGATAGATGTAGATAGTCACGTTTATATCATGGGTGTACTGGTGAAATAACAGCAATTTTGATAGGCGATAGTTTTTTTTTTTAGTTGAGGTGATTGAAATCCTTTATGGATATCATATGGGCCTAATCCTCCATTTGATAGTGGAGATAAAAATTTTTACCATATACGACTCATGGTGCTTATTAAGAGCCACTTCAATATGTTCCTTTTCGTTCAGGTTCCTGAAGATTACTCTTCCGATCCCTGTTCTCGTCTACGAAGAAGGCCAAAAGTTGACCAGAGAGCAAATACATATTATTTATAATCAATCAATAATATGTATTTGCTATACAGGGTGTTTCAGTTTTTTGTAGCAGGACTTTAACAGCTTGAAGAAGACATTTTTTCAAGATGAAAATCCCATACAAACATATATGCGTGGGAGCTCCGTTTCTGATTTACAGGGTGTCAAAGTTTCAGATTTTTTTTATGTTTTGATTTTTCAAGTTTTAATTATAATGGTGTTCAGAAAAATCAATTTGATTTTGCAACTGAATTTCATTTGGTATGGAAGCTTTCGGTCATTCTATTTTCCAATAAAATGTTTGAGAAATGTCAAATAAGTGTGTTTGAGAAATAACGGTTTTATTACAAGTAATTTATTTTTGTCATTTATCTCGAGATCCTTACAGTTTTCGAAAAATTTACATGGGGGCAAAAAGTTTACAAATTGAAAGGACAATCTGAATCTATGTCCCATTGAAAGAAGAGACGGCACGCAAAAAAGTTCTACAGGGTTAAATTGGGTACGACCCCTGAAAGTCTATCACCCTGTAGGTATTCAAATATGTTCAATAGCCTGAAATATTGAATTTTTGAGTGTATTAGGTGTACCAAATTTCAATCAATTATTTCGAAAATTGTAGGAGAAAATTCAAAAAACATTTAAAAAATCTGAAACTTTGACACCCTGTGCATCGGAAACGAAGCTCCCACGCATATATGTTTGTATGAGATTTTCATCTTGAAAAAATGTCTTCTTCAAGCTGTTAAAGTCCTGCTACAAAAAACTGAAACACCCTGTATAACCCTTTCAAGTTAATCCGTTACACCGTATTTTAATGTAGATATTGTGCCTAATTTCCGAAAATGAAGGTTTATCGCAACTGTTCCTGTCTTATATGGATGAATGTATGAAACGTTGGATGGAAAATTAATTTAGAGACAAGCAAAATTTGTGAAGTACATAGATTAAAATTCACTTCTTATAACAGCAGATTATAATGAAACTTAATCTTAGGCCATTTTTTGAACGGAAGATTTTAGGATCCGTTAGAGAGAATCTGCTGTTCCATCAATTTATAAAACTATTTGAAAAAAAATCTATTATTATCATCACACGAGATGCAGAACAAAATTATCATGGAAAAGTGAAATGGATTGCAGAACTACGTAATGAAATTGAACATTTGAGAACGAAACTGAGGAAATCAAGTGAATTGCAACGTGATACCTATATCATTGAATGGCGTTTTCAATACCGACCGAACTAGCTATAAGTATATCCATATGTGTCTATTCCGTTATATTAAAATGTTGTTACATGCATTCTTCTCATTTTTATACCTAACTGTTGTTCTGCGAAAGGTACCAAATCGCAATGAATTGAAATGGGTGCTAATACCCTATTTCTATTTTCCATCTACGGCTATGAAACTGACAGCAAAGGCTGTTTAACAAAAAGAATCGCATATAGTCCTATATTTTCCAAAACCTGCCAAGGCGGTTAAAGCTGTGCAGAAACAAAATGGCTCACTCAAAATTTAGAAAATCTTGGAATGTGTCCTGTAAGATTATACCGGAAACTAATATAAAAAAGGGGAATTATTATCAATGACAGACTTTTCCTGACGGTGAATGGCAAGTGGAATAAATATAATAATAATTCACTACACTGTTTTACCACTAACCAAACCGATTTTTTAACGCCTCGACACGTGTTTCCTCATACTACTCTGATGAATTAGATATTCTCATGAACTGCTCGCAGAAGAGGTAAATAAACCAGTTGAATATTGATCATGAATTGGAAAATTTCGTTGAATATGAAATTTCAATAAATGGCGAAAGCGTAAATACTATTCAAATAATGGTGGGAGCGAAGGAATATGTCCACCAATAGGGAATTAAATCAAAGTTAGAAACGCTTTTGGATATTTCTAGTTCAGAGAGAAAACATATTTCAGTGTTGAATCAATAGGAGAGCAGTTTCACCTCAACTCGAAATAATCACAAGAGACGTTTCTTCAATCAAAAATGAAATCGCATTTATTGTGAAAATTTTAAGAAATGGCGAAAGCGTTATATTTCAATCAATAATTCAGATGCATCGAATTCAAAGAGTACGGATACAAAACATCTTATGTAATTGGAGAGTATCATCAAGTTAGAAATGAATTGAGCTGAAGAAATATGGGGTTTCAGAAAAAAATACGATTTTAAGCACTGAAGAGGTGAGGCACGCATCAAATGAAAAATTTCAAAAAATGGTGGGAGCGTAGTTAAATTTCCACCAATAATCCATACGATACCCTTTCTATTGTATTTTGTATATCTTTTACCATTTTTTGATACAATTTCGAATATTTTCGGAAATATATAATAATACAGCCACTGGAAGTCAGATCGACTAAATAATGTAACCGATTCATTAACTCTACAAGACTTATTTAGGTTCTTTTCTCCCTCATTTTTCTAGCAGTAGAATCATATTCTGATTTTTTTTCATTCAGAAGTGATCGCAAATTCCAATATACAGCTCTCCCTTTGTGATGAACAAAGCAATTTTTTCTCGTTGTATTCAACAGGAAACGACTACTTTCCTGAATAAAGTCATTTAAGCGGTTTGTGAGAGATATAATTCCCACATCCCTAATACCAATCACTTTTCTGGAAGTTTCAAGCTCATTAAGATCAGAGTTTATACAATTATACTTCTATACATTTTAGTTTTCATTTCAATACTGAACATATTGGTAAAGTATATTTTTTCATCATAGTACATCATATTAGTCATCCGATTGAAGAGAGAATGTCAATTATCATTTTCAGAGGATTTTTATTTTTCATACTCCCCTTTTGGATGATCAACAGATATAATTTAATATTCGACGTCGCAAATAGCCATCAGAAAAGTAGTTGTTTTTCTGTTGAATGTTCAGAATGATATGTGCAAATACACATTTTTATCTGAAGGAGAATGCAAATTCTGAACTCCAGCATATGTTGTTTTCAAATTCTTATCGTGTATGTTCAATAGATATAATTTCTTCTCAATACTCCAACCCGATCAAGGAGTTCAAACTTGAACGATAGAAACATGTTATCTATTTTTTTTTAACCTCTATTCGCAGATTTGTGATCAGGTTTTCTCAATTCAGAATTCCTTTCCACATCCTGTATGATAAGTATCAATTTGTTATACATCAAAAATAATGAAAGTGTTGTTGCAAACATTTGAGACCATGATGGAAACACATATTTACCGATACTATAATATGTACAAATACTTTGGGCTTACCGTATATCCATGAAACAGCGATAGCTTCGAAGAATACGGCAAACAGCATCGAGTATCCAGCCGCATACCGGTCCAGCAGATGGAAAAAGTAGAAGCCACCTTGGGAACAGGAAGCCAGTCCCACTACGAAATAGATAGTGAATAGACACGCAACGAAGATTTCCCTGTGTCTTCCGATTTTCGGGAACTCGTCACTCAAGGCTGTTATGATTGCTTCCGAACCACCAAACTGGAATAAGATAACGATTTGTTTTAGGTTTGATGAAAAATTCAAGCTATTGTTCGCATCACTCAAAAAAACTATTGTAATGATATTCCCCTTAGAGGGGCTTTAGAAACATCAGCAGGAAGGCAGGAGTACAACGATCATCCTGTATCACGCATCCCAGATTGCTCTCCAACCTCTCAACGATTCCTACATACACCAGCATATTTCCGAACACTCAATATATGCCGCAGTGACAAATAACGTCACAGAAGATTCTGGAATGTTCTGGAAACAATCGATGAAACAATTAGAGAGAGAGAGGTTTTGTTCTAAGAAGCTCCTAGAACAATGACGGCTAAATGGACTGTCTGACGGGTTATACATGACTGTTCATTCAGCAAAAATCGCCAAATCGCCCTGTAATCAAATTTTGATGGGACGGCAAGTGGCGTCATCTATTTCCTGTGTCAAATGAGCTATTCAACATAACCTGCATTCATGATCCTGCATTATTTGTTGACAAATTTTCTTACTGTCAGCCTGTCACTCGAGATTGGAGAGCTTTGTTCCAGATACCAAGTAAAACTGTGAAAAGGCCAACAAAATGAAGTGGTTAGGAGTGTTCATGCCAAATAACGGTATTATATGCATAAATAATAATGCCATTCAAGTGGAAATCATCTTCGTCAATTCGTGAATAGGTAAGGACATGTTCAATTATTTCTTTGATTAAATTTTTAACTGCCTAATAAGAGCCATGGTAGCCCTAAATAACCAGATACTGCTGTATTCTCGAAGTGGAATGTACTGCAACATTTCATATTGTTTCACAAAATCTGTGATCTCAAGTGATATTTCTCAATTTGTATTTTCAGGAAGATACTGAATTTTCTCAACACAATGTTGAAGCAGCTGTTCATGAGATTTGATTGAATGATGACTGGAGACATTCAATTCTGATGATGCTATCATTGCTATCTATGGATAACCGGAATATTTACTATATAAGGTGAGCTTTGTGAACAATTGTTTAATTAGGTGAGGGTTCAGAAAAATAATCAGGCATTTTAACTACAATATCAAGTATCTCCATGAATAGCAAATTAAATATCAATTTATCATTTTATACTTATATATTTCATATCAGATATACAGATAAATTGTATTGCAAAATTGATAGAACTATGCCAGCTTCAAAATCATTAAATGTTCTATAGCAACATTTCTTTATAGGTTCTGGGGATGGCAACACAATGAATATAAAACGGCTTGGATATGGGATCTTGACTTTGGAGGATGAAGCTAGATTACCTGGAGATCCTTTGGACACTGGAAATAAAAGAGGAAGATGATATATCATTGTGTATCCCACAATTTCTATTATCTGTTCAGAAATCAGCATCAGAGAAGAAGCATATTTTGAGTTCAAATATAAGCTCATCATCAGCTAATTTAATGAAAAAGGAAATTGTTTATTATGGTGAATTTCAATGGAATAAAATTATTATATTACTTGAATAAATGCTTACTATACATATCATCTATCTATCTATCAATCCATATTTTTCAACCATTTTCAAAACTTTGTGGAGACAGAAATAGTTATATGCATTTCAAAATTTGAGTTTGCACTCTTTTCATCTTTTTAGATCTACTTGGGGAAGCTATAGTTAGTGGGCTAGTAGGTATCAGTGACAACATTTTACCTTATTTCACATACCATCTCATACTTCTATCAAGAAAACAAGAAAGCTATACAGGATCTCATTGATAGATGGGCATACATAATACAAAAGCTTAGGCCAAATAATTAATTTAAATTTTTTGTGACAAAATCATCACAGCAGTGAAAAACATTTTTGAAAATCTCTGATAGTATCATCATTCTGTGATATTTGCCAGGAAGCAGGAACACAAAATACCTCAAATTGTAGTTGTGGCACTCAAAAAAACTTCAGATGTTGGCCTAGACTGATGATTCTCTGGGATTCAAAGAGCATACCTTAAATTCCATTCCTCTTTCATTCTTGGTGTTGCTTTTTGGGATGCCCATCCTGTAGGTATATGGTAATTTAAGTTTGAATATGTTGCATTGATGGCTTGAACCATCAGGCTCACATGAAACATTTTTCAACAATACTACTCCTACCCTACCTAGCTATGCAACAACAATGCATCAGACTAAACATACCTTGAAAATTATGGTAAGCGATCCTTTCTGAATGTATGTCCCCATCCTGATAAGTCGCCATATGTAGTGCTATTGATCATCACTCTATATAGTGTCTTCCAAAATCATTGACACAAACTTCAACACCAGAATTAACACCAGTGTTATAATGGTGGAATCGAGGCTGAAATTGGAAATCATCAGAAAAGTGTAGATGAAAAATCATATTCTTACCAATGCCTTCCAAAATAAAATTCGACCATTCTTGCTGTGGAGTTTATCACTGGGTATGAGATTCGAAAGAGCAAACCCCATATTTGATACGATTATTCATACATTTCATTTCATATGCTAGAAGACTGTAAATACATGATGAAGACACACTAGCAGAACTAAACACAAAGAAGAATGCTTGATTCATTGCTTGATTGAATGAAAATCCGAAAAAGTAAAGGAATTTATCGATATTCATTAGAACACATCAGGGACCTGACAGTGACATAGTTTTGACACTTGATAATAATTCAATATAACCTATGTTATTGGAAAACAACCGAATAAAAGCTAAACAAATGACTTCTCCGCAAAGGACGGCAAGTAAACCCCTCTGGTGGAGAATACACTGAACTGAGTGATTGGACAGTCATGTAGTACTCGTCAGACAGTCCATTTAGCCGTCATTGCCTAGAACAAAAAGAATGAGACGGAAGATCATTCGAGAACCTTCTCGAACCAAAGCCTGCCAAGTGATCTCATCAACTGCTGTCAGGCAGTCGAGCAGCGAGTGTCAGAGAGACAGTTATATACCGCGTGATATAAATCATTTTACATAAATAGAAGTTCTAAGTTCGATATGAATCAGTGTTTCTTTAGTTTAAATAAATCAGTTCGAAAATAAATAGTGTCGTGTTCGCTTCTGCACCCGAATAACGTAACACATCCATTTCGATTTATTTCCGACTATAATATCCTAGATTAGTATAACTGAATTGAGAGCAATTCGTTTTGCTATGTAGACAAAGTAGGCAGTTCCACTAATTTTAACGTTGGAGGCTGAAATCAGTAGACATAGGTCTCATAAACATAGTACGAAGATTAAAATATCCGTAAAATGCCATTTCCAATATTCAATGGTGTAAAGCCCTCAAAGTTACTCCTTCTTGATCACAAAGGTTCATGAATTTTTAGGCATCAGGAATCAGACTACCATCATACAGGTTACCACCTCAGCTATGTCATCGTTATCGAGTTTTCTTCCAGGCAGATCGCTCCACGTGGTTGGTGGGCGAAGTATCGTCTGATACCATTATTGTCATTCATTCCGGCGTTTCACAAGGAATAATACGTATTCTCAAGAATTCAAAAGTTCGAAAATATTCCAATTCCTTACTCCTCTCTTTATCCTCCCAATGTACAGGGTGATTGACTATGGATTTCTCGACTTCAACAGCTGATATCTCGAAAACGAAAAAAGATATTTGAAATTTGGAAAAAGTTACTTGAATGAGATGTCATTTCCTTCTGGAAAATGTGTTCTCTGCTTGATTTTATCATTTCATATACAGGGTTCGTGAAAAAAAATTTTTTTTTCGTATGGAACCCCCTGTATATTATCGCATATTTCGAAAGAGCTATTATTCCTGATTTCGAAGATATATACTTTTCATATATTCTATCGAGGGCTTGACGAAATATCAGCAAAATTAAATATTAATATTTGGTCCAAGTTGGCTATGGTTGAAATAGAATGAGATGATGAATAAGTGAATTGACATTTGGCCAACATTCCAGTGACATAAGTGCGCAAAATTTCGACAATTTTCTCACGATGCCATATCCACTGGAACAAAGAAGAGATATTTTGGAGTGCTATTTTTCAGTTAATAAAAATCTTGCTGAAACACTTACACTTATACTTACTTACATTTAATTTTTTTAGATATGACAAGACAAAATTCAATCCGCTTCTCATTATCATCATAATTGAGTTTGTGGCATGGTCTTATTCTGAAATCCCTATATTTATATTTTCTTAAGGTATGTTGAACAAAATAATAGCTGAAACCAAACTCTCTCACTGCATTTCTCATTGACCGTGAAGGATCCTCAACAAAATACTGGATTACAAGAAGTTTCTCGTCTTCGTTGTCTTGCCTTCTCACTATTCTCTTGATATTCGACAAACTGGAAGTTCTGACTAGGGCTGTGCGATATTGAAAACTGGATATCGATATCGATGCACGCTTTGGTATCGATATCTATCGATATATCGATATGTATCGATATATATCGATATATCTATATGTATCTATATATCGATATGTATCGATATATCGATATGTATCGATATATCGATATGTATCGATATATATCGATATGTATCGATATAATTATATCGATATGTATCGATATATATCGATATATCGATATGCAGGTCGATATATATCGATATAACAATATGTACCTATTTATCGATATACACAATACACAGTGTACACCGTACACCTCAGGTGTACAGACAGAGTGTACACAGTACACTACACAAGTACACACACACTACACAGTCACACACAATCATGAGATAATGAAAAAAACCGAGCAAATACATTCATTGGAAGATTGAAAATACAATATTTGTTTAGAATGGCTGATATTTCGTTGAATACCTTGTCTGGATCTATGAAATTGTCTGAAACTTTCCCCATTCAACCGACTTTCCATCTCCTTTAGTTTCCGATATCCCAATACACTCCTCAACAATTTTGGACATACTGTATATCGATATGTATCGATATATCCTGCTGTTGAACTGTATTAAAATTTTCATAATGCAATACATCCTAAATTCTCAGCAGATATTTGATATTCTGAGATTGTACAAATTTACACAATAATAATACCAATGGTTCGTTTGTTGTATATTGTTATGTATCGATATGTATCGTATATATATGTATCGATATATCGATATATATCGATACATATATATCTTTTATCGTTTTCGAGATATCAGCTGAAGTCGAGAGATCCATAGTCAATCACCCTGTACGCACGATGCTCTCCGCATATCATAGCAATTTAATTTCGTGTGCTCCAAGAGATGAAACAAATACATTAGGACTCCATATGAATAAATGAACATTCAGACACGTTATGGTCAGGCAGAGAAACAGTAAATAATAGTTTCACAATAGTATCACACTTTGTCCTTTGTTACAGTCATAGGAACGATAATATACAGTTCGCAAGAAGTCATATAGTTGAAAGTACATATCTGTGAAACTAGGAAACACGTCTTTGTAAAAAAAAAAATCACTGGTGACACTTTTACCAACAGAAAGGAGACCATTTGGAGATGATTAAAACTTGTTTCAAGACTGTTTCATGGATTGAATTTCCAAGGCCCATTATGGTAAAATTTCCGAACTAACAAAACTGAAATCGAAACATCGTGTTGAAATCTTTTCAAAAACTAGTCAATACTCACTACAAGACTGATCAAGATTGAATTAGTCAATTTCATTGACTGCCTGTTTTCTAGCTTTCCTGCTTTTATACAGAAATTTTGTCATTATAAATTCATGCAGAATTTTCGTTCAGTCGACAATACCTTGGATATTGAAAGAAATAAAGTGCAAACAGAGGCTCTCGATGTTTTCAGGAATATAGTTTCCAACCTAATGGTATTTGGTCGTGAAACATCCTGCAAAAGGATTTCGAATTGATTTTGAACTACTGAGTAATCGATTTTTCATTTATAATCTGGTATTTACTCAAGATTTGGCTACTCAAATGATGACTCAAATTTGAGTTCACTTCGTTTATCAATTTCCTGTACACTCTTCTCAAACTTCTGTTAATCTCTTTACGCTATTCTCAAAGACGCCAAGTAATTGATAATAAGTCGATTCTCATTCGCATATTTAGAACAATATTTTGTTTCCTCAAACGAGTTCATTCCCGTGGTATAACACTTCATGTAGATTTTCCGACTTTATATACCCAAATGTGTTCTATCCTGATTTGAAACGACCTTCTACTTCCTAAGTGCATTCGTAATAATCTTGGTTGAGTCACTTCATTGCCTGAACTTTTTCAGAATCCTCACCGAGCTATTCAGTCCCAGCGTGAGCAGCATCATGAAGAAGATCAGCGCCCAGAATATGCTGCCGGGTATCTTCGCTATTCCATATATTTTTGTTTTCTCGATCACTCCGTTTCTCGACACAGATTTCCGAGTTTCCTTGAATTAATTCCAGTGAATGATCGAATTTAGTACTCTCTCAACATAATTTATCTCAGAACTAAGAAACATACGCTTTCTAGCCACTATTTGAATATTGTATAAAGACTTATCTAGTCTATATGCATACAATGATTCAACCCTATCCATTTTTCATCTATGCTCCATGAATAGTTGTAGTAGTAGCAGTATGGTAGGGAGGCTGTAGCCGAGCAAGTAGGCCCCGATGGGCCCTTTTTGGTAAGTGAGGCCTTTTGGCTAACCCCAGCTCTCCACATATCTACGCTTCCTTCACTTCACGAATCTCGCTGATCTTCTAATGCAGGCCAGTATGTCCGTCCACTCTAATATGATCAACTTCTCCTATTGCACTTTGTCGACTCCAGAGATTTCGAATCTCATCCTCGCACTAGCCGAGAAAATGGAGTGACGTTTCTTTGTCTTCCCCACATCTGCGGCAAGTAGGGTTGTCTCCTATCTCCATTATTTATAGGTGTCTGCCTAGCCTGTTGTGTCATGTATCTTACCTGTGAGTACTCCTATGAGGAGGCGGAGAACTTGGCGGTCTCTTGTTCGGACCGGCCACGAATTCCTTGGCCTGTCTGCAATCTGTGATATTCTTCCAGTATTTTCCCACTGCCTTGTCCACCCATACATCAAGGGCTGACGTAGTTTGGCTCCATATTATACTATACCTAGTACGATCCCTGGCCCCAGAAACGGCTCCGCGGAAGCGGCCCTAGCAAGTTCGTCGGCTGTTTCGTTTCCGGGCACCCCACTGTGACCGGGAACTCATACCAGTTCATCTTCCTTTGATTTATCTAATCTGTCGAGGACATTTCTGTATTCTTGTACCAATGCTGAGCTTGGTCTGGGATGACTGATGGCCTTGAATGCTGCCTGGCTATCCGAACAGATGTATTTCTTCTGCTCTGGCCCCCCTTTCACTTCTTGACTCCCTGCTACGACCAGGATGGCGAACACCTCAGCTTGCGAAACTGTGGTGTATTTTCTTAAAGCGTAGCTTTCTCGTATGTTTCTCCCTTCGAGGTAAATCCCTGCGCCCGAAGCCTGTCAGTCAGGCGGGATCCGTCTGTGTAACATACTAGACACCCTAGGCTAAACTTCACTGTAATCTTTTTCCATTCTTATCTGCTTGGAATGATAAGTTTCCATCCCAGCATGTCCTGCACTTTATTCACTCTGAGACTAGAGATAGGAATCTCCTGCTTCACCCACTTTGCTATTTCGCATGACCCTTCACTTGCCTAGTTTTCTGAGTCCCGCATCCTCTGGTGGGCCGCCATTGCCTCCTTCTTTATTCAGATTTGGAGCGGTGGTTTGCCAGAACATTACCCTCATTGTAAATGTTATTGCTAAGCAGGCCATCCTCTGGACTTTACTTAGGTTCCGACCTATCGTACTAGTTTCTACGCCCGGCCACCACACTACCGACTCATAATGGCACTTTGGTCTTACGACTGCTGTGTACAGCCAGCCGTAATCCCGGGGTTGATATTCCAAGTTTTTTCAGTAACTCTCCCCAATTGCCATAAGATAGCTACCGACTTTTCCACAACCCTATCCGCATGCGCTCTTCATAAAAATCTGGAGTTCAGAACTACCCCCAGGTATTTGACCTGTTGGACTCCTTGGGATAAGACAACTATCTTACTAACTATGGGTATGTTCCATAAATCAACTTGGTTATTTCGGTTAGTAGTTTTTCGTTCCATAAATATGAAATGTTCGGTTGGTTCCTGAAAAAAATGCTATTTACGGAACTCGGTTGCTGAAAAAGCGGTAGATTCACTGTCACCAGAACGACCGTCGATTTTCACTGGTGAGTTCGGTAAGTTTGAGTTGACGTGTCGTTTTAGTTTTCCGTTCGATTATTCGATTCACAAATTACAGCGAAAAAGTTTTGCCATTTTGATTATTGCGTTAAGTTCCTATGCATTCGTTTACAGAGGCAAACTGATAATATTCGATACTTTTTCAGTTTGACGACATATTTTTTTATTTCAGGACACTACATCCTTTGCTTGTGCTAACTGTGCTCAAGAATCAGGGACTTTTGGGTGACATAATTGAAAATCAAATTCTGGCAGAAAATGAATGTTTAAAAAACCATCAGAACTATGATTCGACAAATGACTGGCATTCCGTAAATAAACCACAACCGTAGTCACCAGTAGATAACCACTGTCACGATTGTTGGTTCCGGCTCTGAAAGCATCGGTAACTTCGGTTGATTAACATATCCAATGTAAGAGACCCTAGCGACAGTTACGCACACTCACATCTATCATTCTAGCTTCCAACATCTCGGATTGATGAATTTAGTGTGCCCAACTGTCGCGAGGCGGTCGTGAATCCTTACCGAGCTGTCCAGTCCCAGCGTGAGCAGCATCATGAAGAAGATCAACGCCCAGAATATGCTGCCGGGCATCTTTGCTATGGCCGCCGGGTATACGATGAAGACCAGCCCCGGGCCTTCGGTGGCCACCTCACGGATGGGGCGACCAGCCGCATGCGACATGTAGCCCAGCACTGAGAATATCACGAAGCCGGCTATGAAGCTAGTGCCGCAGTTGATGGCGCTGGTTAATAACGCATCCCTGAAACAATCGAGTTATTATTATTAATATTTTTTTTTTATAAAAAATCAATAGGTAACATTTGAGTTTCTTGATTTTGAGACCTTTTGAGAATAATACAAAATTTTGCAACAAAGTAGGTAGGTACCGGAAAATGCTACTTTCTCAAAGAAAAAGCGCCCGGGAAGTGCTCACTTACCAGCCAGGGTATACCCACTAAACATTCCACCCTGCTTGTAGGCTAATCTGACCAATGTCTCCGGCCTGGTGGCCCATTGTATCTTATTACCTAGTAGTTTATTATTGTTCCCACTCCATTATCTCTGTACCTTGAACAAGTCTGTACAGATCCTTAACTGGGTGTGAGTTAAATACTTTAGGTTCGTCAATTGGTTGCCCAAACTTCTTTTGTCCTACCGGTCTACTCCTTTTCGAGGCATAAAGTGTGTTTTTACTACCAAGGTAGTTTTCGCAATATTATGAACCACTAGTAAATGAAGACATAGCCAACTCTGTTGTAATTAACCTGAATTCACTGTTCTGATGGCGATATTCGCAGAAATGGTACTCGGTTCTTGGGTAATAACGGATATTCTTTACTACCTTGATGTATAAATAACGGTCTGCCAAAGTTCTCAGTTCCCTCTTGCTATCCCATACCAGTCGAGATGTCACTTCCTGTTTTTCTATTGCCTTCAGTGCCGCTTGACTGTCTGACATAATGCGGATCTGCTCATTTTTCACGGCTCTTCTGTTATTTTCTTTCGCAAAAACTGTTACAATTTGTTACATATACAATATCTTTATCTTGTAAGTTGTAACTTCTATACAGGGTAGATACCTTGACTGGAATAAATTTACTATAGCAGGGAAGTATGTATTCAGTTATATTTTGCAAGCAATACGAGAAATATGAACCTTCAGGGGTAGCTGAAATCAGCCCACGCATGTTTGTTCCAAATGCAACCCTATGGCTTCTGACCCCTCATTGAGACGCTGATTGAATGAGGAATCCAACGTTCTAATGAAATTTCGGTTCATAGTGAGTTTGAGGGTTGCATAAAATCAAAACAAATTCAATGCTCTCGTAAAATGGAGTTGCTCTTAAAAATACGGAAAAAGTAAATATTAATGTAATTCGAGTATTTTCTAAAAACCCGTAATTTTGTACGAGAACGTTAGATAACAAAAACAAGATTCCAGGTAGTGATTCTGTAATTCACATGGATTTAATGTTTGCTTTGGATATTTTGTGGTTATCCATTGGCTAAACTACGCCTATCTTGTACCTGTTCAAATAAAGACGATTTATTATTATTATCATTATTATTATATCTGAAGGATTATACATTGCAGATGGAATTCTTATGGATGTCAATTTCAAATCCCAAAAATAATGGATTATTATTGCTCATTAACAATCCCTAAAAGAAAGAAAAATCAGAATTACGAGCAATCACAATATCTGTAGGTTAAACGAGGTCGTATTTTCATTATTCCAGATTTTTTTGGATTTTAGAAACGCGAAGAAAAAATCACAAAAATCTGGAATACTATAAAATAGGACTTGTAATGTTGGAATCATGTAACTCCCTAGTCAATTTTAGGTTTAAATTTGGGTAACTTACTTGTAAACATTATTGTGGTATTTATTGTACGAAGCATATGCCAAAAGCACTCCGAAACCAGGACCCAAAGAGAAGAAAACTTGCGTTGCAGCGTCCACCCAAACCTGAAAATATCGACGATATATAGGTTGTTCCTTTAGAAACAGAAATGCATCAACAATATATAATAAAGAGGCCCGCCCACCAAGGCAATTCTGAAATGTACGTCTAGGGATTAAAGTGTTCACGAATTTGAACCAATTAAAGTATGCAAAGATTCTTCCTTCCAAGATACTTCCTGTATATTTATGTCTTAAGTATGCATATTTTCACCAGAAATACAATTTGTACCAAATGGACGCGAGAAATTTCCAAATGTCGCATTAAAACTCAAATTTATCAAATGACACCCACCTATACTATACTATTTTCGATGCAATACCAAAGAAAAATTAATTTGAGGATAAGTATTCCCAATACCAACTCAAAAAAGAGCTACTGGGAAAACATCCCAAAAAATAGACATGGGAAATAAAACATCAAGGAACCAAGTCATAAAAAAACTGTAGACCTGCTCAACCTGAACAGAGTAACTGCCACGGGACTCATAACTGGCGATGCGCCAGTAAAGGAACACCTCACCAGAATGGGACGGTACAATGTCGACCCAAGATGCAGACTATGCGGAAAGAAATCAGAAACAGTATCACATATATACTGTGCAGATGCGAGACCTCTTGGACCGCAGAAGACAAAAGATTTTTGGGCAAGCAGTCGGGGAACCAGAAAAATTTAAGTCACATCCAGTAAAGGATTTGTACAGACTTGTTCAAGGTACAGAGATAATGGAGTAGGTACAATAAAAACTACTAGGTAAGATACAATGGGCCACTAGACCTAAGTGTCGTCGGAGACATCAATCAGACGAGCCTATACAAGCGGGGTAGAGTGTTTAGTGGGTATACCTGGCTTTGAGTCAATGGGATTCTCATACTCTCATATGGGGGATTAGATCCATATGGTGTCCATAAAGGATCTTTGATATGCGATGGCTCAAACTCAAAATTCGACCTACATTGAATAAACATGCTTGCACTATTTTTATTATTTTCATCAAATAACTCGATAGTGGGTATAGGGAATGGTTAAGTTACTAATCCTCAAATTCAATTTTCTTTCATGTGGTGTAAGAAAATAGTAAGTGCCATTTGAAAAAGTTCAAGAAAGGGGAATTTCTTCAGTTTTATCAAATGACTCGATGGAGGTATGAGTTAGGTATAGGAAATACGTGACTTCAAAGCGTGCTATCCTGATGAATTTTTTGTTTATGGAGCGATTTTCACGATTTTTTATTGAATTTAGAAGGGGCACGGTGTAGTTTGGAACTAAGTGGCATCAACTTCTTTTAAAAATTAAGGTCTACTAGATCACATCAAGAGGACCAATTTCTGCAGTCGCAGGGAATCGAACTCACGACCGGCAAGCGAACGCGGATGAAAAAATACTGATGCTTCTTCCGCGCGGCTACCTCGCCCTCAATTTCTAGATTACACATGTAAAATTGGGATCGAAACAACTTTTCTTGGTTAACTTTTTGAAGTTCGAATAAACAAGCCTATTTTCAGCGATTAATTTGAAAAACTTCAACTATTGACATTTAGCGAAAGTCACGTGACCTCGACGGAGTAGATCATTTCATATCTTTTTTAAAGCAACACTTAACGCCCAAGTCGAAGTTTTTTTCATATGATCTTACCTTTCTAGAAGACACTATATCTCCAAAGCTATGATAGATAAGTTAACATAAAAAAGGTGGTAGTCCCACTTGCCGTGAATGCGGAGAAGATGAGGAGACATCACTTCACTTCCTCGGAGAGTTTGAGGCGTATGGAAGGATGAGATTCGAAATCTTTGGTGTAGATAAACTACAACAGGAAGATTTGGTCGAATTAGAGTGGACGTACATCCTGACCTTCATCAGAAGGACGGGAAGGTTCGAAAAGGACCACTAAAAGAGGGATGTGTAGATATGTGGAGAGCAAGGGGGCCTACTTGCCTGGCTACAGCCTCCCCACAATACTACTACTACTAACGCCCAAGTCGAAGTTTTTTTCATATGATCTTACCTTTCTAAAAGACACTATATCTCGAAAGCTGTGATAGATATGTTAACATAAAAAAGGTGGTATCAATTCAGAATTAGGAGGTCATTCAAACCGTGTGAAAAAAAGGTTTTTATCTGAAATAAGAAAATTGGTGCTGTGTAAATGGGGGAATAATAGTTATTAGAGCGAGGGCTATTAACACGCCAAGGCATAAATTGAGTGTTTCATCTATGCCAAAGTCATAGATTCAGGGTCAATAAAAGCAAGTTACGCTCGAAATACATAGAACATTTTATGCACGACAGGTGAATTTGATATTCCATTGTGAATACCTTCACATCTCAAGCAAAGAACAATAGAAATACATCATTCATTTTTTTATTCATTAATTAATTTCTTCACTCTGTTTACAGAATTATTCCTATTAGAAACTAAGAGGAGCAGGAATTCTTTGTACTAGAGAGTTTCTACATAATATGTTTGTGCATGGAGTTGGCAAGTAAGAGGTTCGATTCACTCGGGACGCCATTCTTGGAACGTGAAAATGAACATGAGTTATTGATTGTTTTGAAAGTAATTACATCTGAATGGTACTCTCTTCGAGTTTGTAGACTGCTGAATGAATGTCTCTCAAGTAAATTTTTATGTGGAATGCCAATTTCTGGATATCCTGCACCTATATTATGAGGACTCCAAATTACCGGAGCATATTCCAGTTTCGATCAGACAAATGCATATTACAGACTTTTAAGAGTTACTGTATCCTTGAAACCTCTGGAGTATAGAACTATACAACCATAGGAATTGCTGACAGCTGACGCTATTTGTTCGATGTGATATCATAATTAACAATCACAACTGAAACATGAATTTCCCGAATTATACAAGAATGCTAATCACGAGTTACTCATACGTCGGACGATAAAGTGGTCTGTGGGTGATAAAGTGCCACTTTACGGCCCGTCGTGCATAAAAATATTCAAGGTTGATTGGAATTGATCAATTATAGCAGCATACCAGTTTTTGATCCAACTGCAGGTTGAAAAACTACCAATGTTTGGTCTACGTAAATCACCCTGTACAACAACAAAAATAAAGACTTGAAAATGTACCTCTGCAGATCCGATAGCGCTGAAATTCGGCCGCAGGTAGTACTCGATCCCCTCGGCAGACCCGGGCAGCGTGATGCCTCTCACCAGCAGGATGAGCAGCACCGCGTACGGAAACAGCGCGGTGAACCACACCACCTTGCCCGAGGTCGAGATGCCCTTCCACAGGGAGAAGTAGCAGATCACGTACACGGCGAAGAGGCACAGGGCTATGTCCCACTTGATCGAGCCAAGGTCGTGCAGGCCTTCACTTTGGTGCAGTTCCAGAATAGCTCGACTGAAACACGAGAGATACAGTCATCTATCTAGAACGAAACTCCATAGAAAGTTTGTGAGATGTTTATTTCCGACTAAACATGTTTTGCCTTGCCCGAGGTCGATATGCTCTTCCACAGGGAGAAGTAGCAGCAGATCACGTAAAGGCGTAGGTCGTGCAGGCTCTCGCTCTAGTGCAGTTTCAGAATAGCTCGACTGAAACTCGAAAGATACAGTCATCTATCCAGAATGAAACTCCATTGAAAGTTAGTAATCATCAAAACATCGGATGGGATGTTTCTTTCCTACTAAATATGTAATCATATAATGGAACGATGAACCAGAACACCTTGGCCCGAGGTCAAGATGCCCTTTTCACTGGGAGAATTTGCAGCAGATCACGTACACGGCGAAAAGACACAGGACCATGTCCCACTTAATCAAGCCCAGGTCGTGCAGGCCTTCGCTTTGGTGCAGTTCCAGAATAGCTCGACTGAAACACGAGAGATACAGTCATCTATCCAGAACGAAACTCCATTGAAAGTTAGTAATCAACAGAACATCGGATGGGATGTTTATTTCCTACTGAATATTTAATCATGTAATGAGAACGATGAACCACAATACCTTGCTCAAGGTCGGTATGCCCTTCCACAGGGAGTAGGAGCAGCAGATCACGTACTCGGCGAAGAGGCACAGGACTATGTCCCATTTGATCGAGCCCAGGACGTGCAGGCCTTCGCTTTGGTGCAGTTCCAGAATAGCTCGACTGAAACACGATAGATACAGTCATCTATCCAGAATGAAACTCCATTGAAAGTTAGTAATTATCAAAACATCGGATCGGATGTTTATTTTCCACTGAACATGTAATCATGTAATGAGACCGATGCACCACAACACCTTGCCCTAGGTCGAGATGCCTATCCACAGGGAGAAGTAGCAGCAGATCACGTACATAGGGAAAGGCAAAGGTCGTGCAGGCTCTCGCTCTATCCAGAACGAAACTCCATTGAAAGTTAGTAATCATCAAAACATCGGATGGGATGTTTATTTCCCACAGAACATGTAATCATGTCATGAGAACGATGAACCACAACACCTTGCTCGAAGTGGAAATCTCCTTCCACAGGAAGAAGTAGCAGCAGATCACGTACACAACTAAAAGGCGCAGGTCGTGCAGGCTCTCGCTTTGGTGCAGTTCCAGAATAGCTCAACTGAAAACACTAGAGATACAATCATCTATACAAAACGAAACTCCATTGACCGTTAGTAATCCTCCGAACATCGGATGGGATGTTTATTTTCTACTAAATATGTTATCATGTGATGAGAACGATAAACCACAACACCTTGTCCAAGGTCCATATGCCCTTACATAGGGAGAAGTAGCAGCAGATCTCGTACATGGCGAAAAGGCACAGGTCGTGCAGGCTCTCGCTTTGGTGCAGTTCCAGAATAGGTCGACTGAAACACGAGAGATTCAGTCATCTATCCAGAACGAAATTCTATTGAAAGTAAGTAATCATCAGAACATCGGATGGGATGTTTATTTCCCACTGAACATGTAATCATGTCATGAGAACGATGAACCACAACACCTTGCCCGAAGTGGAGATGCCCATCCACAGGGAGAAGTAGCAGCAGATCACGTACACAGCGAAAAGGCACAGGTCGTGCAGGCTCTCTCTTTGGTGCAGTTCCAGAAAAGCTCGACTGAAACACGAGAGATACAGTCATCTATCCAGAACGAAACTTCATTGAAAGTTAGTAATCATCGAAACATCGGATGGGATGTTTATTTCCCACTGAACATTCAATCATGGTATGAGAACGATAACCAACAACACCTTGCCCGAAGTGGAGATGCCCTTCCACAAGGAGAAGTAGCAGCAGATCACGTACATAGGGAAAAGACACAGGTCGTGCAGGCTCTCGCTTTGTTGCAGTGCCAGAATAACTCGACTGAAACACGAGAGATTCAGTCATCTATCCAGAACGAAACTCCATTGAAAGTTAGTAATCATCGGAACATCGGATGGGATGTTTATTTCCCACTGAACATGTAGTCATGTAATGAGAACGATAAAACACAACACCTTGCTCGAAGTGGAGATGTGCTTCCACAGGGAAAAGTAGCAGCAGATCACGTACATAGGGAAAAGACAAAGGTCGTGCAGGCTCTCACTCTGGTGCAGTTCCAGAATAGCCCGCCCGAAACGCCATGAAAAATATATTTCATCTCTGATGAAACATTTTTTTATTCTACAACTTGGGAACGATTTTTCAGATATGAATCTATGAGACCTAGGGATACCCCCCTCACTCCATAATAATTCAATTTTTCAATAAGAATGTAATGGGAGACACAGTCGAAAGCCTTGGACAGGTCGCACAATAACACAGATGTGTGAAGGCCCCCTTCCAGAGCCTCGACAATGTCACTCCCAACATTCTTTTCGAAAACCATATTGTGATTTATGGAAAAATCCATTCAATTCGAAGTAATTAGCCAGTCTTGTCCTAATCAATTCCTCCAGAACTTTGGATAAAATGCAAATTATAGAAATTGGTCTATAGTTGTTTTATTGTTTTACCTTGACTGTATTGAAGAGATAAAAACTTATCGAATTAAACTGAACTGAAAATTATTCAATTCATCCTCCTTGCTAAAGGGTTCCAAACTTACTTGAAATATTCTGAAGCAGCTGATGCGAAACGAACCTCTGGTAATACAATCTCCGATCGATTGAATTCCGTGTGATTTTTCGATGGGTAGTCGAACTGCAATCAAGAGAATAATCAGATTCTAGTAATACCATTAAAAATGCGTCGAATACTTACTGGTCTGCAGTTCGGTGTGTTCCAAGGATTGTCACAAGTGGTCCATGGAAGTAGATTTGTGAAGGAAGCAAAGAAGAAGCGTAGCGCCCAAGCTATTATAACGTTGTAATAGAAATCCACGTAGAATGCTATCAAAACCACAGCGTAACCTATACCTGAAAAATAAGCATTTGCAGTTGTTTTTGGATGTATGATGAATTGATATTCATCATACAGGACGTGGAAAGGCATTGTGAATTGAGAAAACCAAATCACGAATCAGCGATTGAAGGTCTATAAAAACAACAAGTTTCCATCGTTCAAGTTTAAACCCCTTGATTGGGTGAAAGTATTGGAAAGGAATATTCTCAGATATAATTATGAACATAAAAAAAGAAATACATTGAGAATTCGCATTCTCTACACTGAGAAAATAGTTATGGCCACAGTGTAAAGGTGAATGTATTCGAGTTTCTCATTCCAAAAAGCCTCCGGCTACCATCAATTTTTGAATAGATACGTTCAAAAATGGTCATACATTTTGAAAAATTATTTTTAATTTTACATCCCTTTATCCCAGAAATGGAGCAATTTCGGACCGAAGTGAGTCGTGAGTTGCTTTAAATCGGCTTATACAGGGTTATGATAAAGTAATGCACAAACTTCATAAAATGTACAACGATCACTTTTGAAAAAAATGCAAAAACACGTCAAACTGTTTTTTTATTCCGCATCTTTTGACATAAGTTACAAAAATAACACGTCAAAGTTGCCAAAGTTGCTAAGATTTTCATTACATTATGTGATAGAACTTGTGTTTTTACACGAGGGAAAAATAGTTGCAGTAGGGCTCACATAATGTAATAAAAATCTTAGCTTCCCATTAAAAAAATTTGTTGATGACGTCATAACTTTGCGTGTTATTTTCGGAACTTATGTCAAAAGATGCGGAATAAAAAGAACAGTTTGACGTGTTTTTGCATTTTTTTCAAAAGTGATCGTTGTACGTTTTATGAATTTTGTGCATTACTTTATCATAACCCCGATGTATTTACCTCAGCAATATGTGTTGAGATTTTGTACAGACCTTTTGGGGACACCCAGTAGAAACGGTGTGAAGAGCAGATTCCACATTTTCTCTATTTTTTGTCCACAGAATAGTACCCATCAAACAATTTTTCATTTCAGAACTATTTCGGAAACTTACTTTGTATTGACTGAAAAGTTGCAGTCAAAGTTTCCAGTATGTTTCAGGAATGAGATGTTTAAGATATCTGCTCTCAGAAATGTTTCAGTGGAACGTATAAATAATATTAATGATTCAACCCCCCCAAGTGTGGAACATACTGGCTAACGCTCTCCTAGAGTTAGTATAAGTCAATATGTACAGGGTTTTTCATTACTAATTGGAAATATTTCAACTATAAAACCTGAACTCAAAATATGAAGATTTTACCAAAATCAACTAGATAAGTGTGTCTCCTGTCTTACAGTTACAGGGTGTTTTATTTGAAAATTCTGAAATTATTTGCATAGTATTCGTTAATATTTCAGTCTACGTAAATATCGTATTATTTCTAAATAGCGATAGTCATAATTTTTCGAGATATTTTCAGCTGAGCATAAAGCTACATAATTATTTAGATTTTAATGTGTACCTATTGATTAAAGGTCGAGTGTTTTGAGTCATTGGATTGCATTCATTACGGAAATGAAACTCCTGTTTCAACAAGGAAAGATAATAACATAATAATTTTCAAATTTCATCTAGGTGATTTGGGCAAAATCTTCATATTTTGAGCAACATTTTCATATCCTCAGCTGAAATATTTTGAATTAATAATGAAACACCTTGTACATAGCCCTTCTTTTCCTCCAATTCAAACCAATTTTATGTGAGTTTATCAAAATGAAAATTTGAGCGGTTTTCATTTCATAAAATTTAAATTGATTGCTTTCCATTTTTTGTTTTTTTTTATCGTAATTTTCTTGCTACCCTTCTTGATTGAGTAAGTCATTGTACTTGCATATAACCCGTTTTTCTATCTTATTCTCATCTAAGAGAAAATCAATGTTTCCATTTTTCGAACTTTTTCTCCCCTACTGCTCTCCTCATCATGTCCTAGAGTATACAGGGTGTTTGGTTCACCGACGTATTGGAAGGAGGTGGTAGAGGTAATGGGATTTCGAACATATATACTATTATACAAAGTTTACACTTCTCGAGAAATCATCGCGAATTATAAATTCGAAGTCGGTTTTTAATTTGTGACGAGCCAAAACATTTTTACACATTTGGGTCCCATTACGTGTTCAATATCGATAGAATACGTATTCTACTATTAATGAAACTAGGATACAAGCAGATGAAACGTTCGACAATACGATGATATATTGAAATTCTCAACACTTTGTATAATACAAAGAGAGAGGAACTCAAAGTCATTACCACAAGTTCATGAAATGAACGAAAATGGTAGATAACGAGAGAAAAACAACTACTTTCCTGGCTATATGCCACGCAGAACATCGGATTGCATCGTCCCGAAATCTATGCAATAATACAGGGTATATCACGACGAGCTTACAGTATTTCCATGAAACTATGCATGCATATATTTTAGGAATACTGAACTACAAGTCTTGAGACTCATTGAGAACACAATATCGTTGAGAAATGATAGACAAAAGACCCATCTTGCTCTCCTTGACATAGCGAAAGCATTTGACAAGGTGTGGCATGATGGTATCTTATACAAAATGATCGATATGGGCTTTCCTGACGATTTGATTCAGTTGATGTGTTAATTTCTGAAAAATCGAACTTTTCAAGTAAAACTTGATGATCAACGATCTGGTATCAAGCCCATTGAAGCTGGTGTTCCTCAGGGTGCAGTTTTATCTCCGTTGTTGTACAGTTTATATACTAGCGATTTGCCAAGACCAGTGATGTGCAAGATGTCGCTTTTTGCTGATGATACGGCAGTTCTTGCATATTCGACAAATTTCGAGTTCAGGAGTACTTCCTAAGATGGAAGATCAAATTGAATCCTAGAAAAACACAATTGGTCGCACTCGGAAGGGAGCGGAGGCCTCCCAGAACCAGAATAGTCCTGGATGGTCATGAGTTAGAGTGGTCTTCACAAGTTAAATACTTAGGTGTGTGCATTGACAAGAAGCTCACCTGGGCCCAGCACATTGAACAGCAAGTTTCTAAAGCTAAACGAGCCATTGGAGCCCTGTATCCATTTCTAAACAGGCGAAGTAAATTGGGTTTGAGACAAAAATGGAATATTTATATCATGACAATCAGGCCAATTTTACTGTATGCCTCAGTAGTCTGGGGCCACACAGCTAAATCTCATATCACCAGATTACAAACATTACAAAACAAAGTCGCGAGAATGGTGACAGGATCTCCTTGGTATGTTCGGAATAACCAGATCGCCAGGGATCTGAAACTCCCTTCAATCGTGTCAGTCATTAAAGAACGAAACATCAAGACTTTCGAAAAAGCTGAGGTTAATGAGAATCAGCTTCTTCGAAATGCAGTTGATTATGACCCAGGTGATCAATCGAAGTTCAAAAGACCGAGATTGTCCATAAACAAGAGAAAATATCGACATTATGACCAAATTTACTATTCTCAAGTTTTTGATATTTATTTTTTCCGTTCGATCTCTTTCAATTCTTAGAATGTATTTCTGAAACTTATTTGGGGCAGAAGGGCTGTTCGCATCAAACTTCAATACCGTTTTCATTTTGTTCCATAATAGATATCAGGATAAGAAGGACTCTTCCCTGATGGTCTGAATAAAATAAAAGAAAGATCCAAAAAAAAAATAGTGAATCAAAAGTTGAGCTTGAGACATGTCAGCCGTTTTGACCAATAATGAATAGTTTCGACACAGAAAATCCTAAAGTTGAGAAATCTCGATTTTGAAAACCCTATACCTCTGAAATCTTTTTGGATAGACCCCAAGTGTGATACATCGTTAAATTTAGCTCGTCAGGAAGAATATAAAAATGTAATAGAATACAGGGTGTTACATATTTGAAATATCAATGTTGCTACTACTTTCTAGTAGAAATGGCAATACTGCATTGTCGAAAATATTTCAAATGAGGAGAGCGTATTCTTAAATATGAGCATGCACGTTCTCATGGATTTCTCCTCACTAATTCTCGATATTAAGATAGTTGTAAGCTCGTCGTGATATACCCTGTAGATGAATGAAATCGCAAGTTTTTCCTTCCTTATAATATAATAAATGTATAATATTTGATATGGTTAAATATGTTCTGAATGTTCTTACCTACCTCCTCTTTTCAGATATACGTCGGTGAACCAAACACCCTGTATAAGGCAATATGTAATTGTGTGTAATACTACTGCCATCGATGAAAATTTTGATAAAATCCTTCGCTCTCTCGTTCTGCTCGCTCTCTTCCATTCTACCGAACTGGACAACATAAATCTCCTGCTATAGTCCTCTCAAGAAAGCAGAGACTTCTTTACGAATATCACGAAGGAATATCCAGAATAATTACCCACTTCACCGGATTCAGGGACGGATCCAAAATAGGCATCTACAGTTCTCAACACACTAAATGGACCACTCATAATTTGACTCTATTCCGAAGACCTGTATTTTTTGAAAAAATTGACCGATCTTCATGCGGTTTTCGATATCAGATGTGATATTTCATCGGCTTCAAAGAGAGCTAGAACACTCTGAAAAAGTCCGCAGATCAAAACTTACACAGGGTGTAAAGTGGCTGATGAGACCTCTGGTGGGTCGAAACAGTACTGTCTCGCTCCTGCTGACAATTGAGGCAACTCTGTTCATCCTGGATCTCTTAGTTATGAGATCTAGCAGTTGAATAGGTGTTGGAAAAATTCCACTCAAGTATGTCAGGTAGTGCCATCTGTCAGCAGGGTGGTTCACTTGTAGTACCACTCTGTAGCACATAGACGTAGGGGTCTGTACGTGTGACTACAGATAGCAGCGCCATACAGTGTATGTCGTGATTTCTGTATCCTATCTCAGAGCTTTGCCACTAGATGGCTACAACATGACTATAACTTCATGTTATACCCTGCATTACACTATGATCTATATTTCAAATGCTGCCAGAACTCTGGAAAGTTTTTTCTGATCAAAAATCCGTCATA